TCATTGTCGTCGTCGTCGTTCACATTAAATATAGGTACGGCACTGGTACAGTCATTCCTTCAAGACTCTGACCACACACACAGAAGGGTGCAACAAATGCCGGCAAAGCAGCTTTGGAGCTTGGGCAACAACTCCAGGAATCTATCGCGTAGACCCTCATGCTGAAGCATGTTCATCGAGGCCTGCTCCGCAGGCACAGAAACTCCGCCCATCAAAAATCAAGACCTGCACAAGGCACCGACTGCAAGGCGAGGGACCTGCCACGCAGTGGCATCGACATGCAGCTCATGCAAGACCATGGCAATCTGTGGGAAGTCCAGCGCCATGTTTTCCTGAAGCCTCTTCAGCAAGACCTGCAGCATCCAGGAAGTTTGCAATCAGAGTCACGACACGACCCGGCTCCCTGCCAACTCGCTGAGCCTGGCCTGCTGGACATCCTCGCCGGTGTTCTCCGGGGCTGTGCCAGAGGCCGATGCGTCCACGCCGGAGGCGTGTGAGGCCGCCTGTGAGGCTGGCTGTGTGGCTGCGTGCGAGGCCTGCTGCGGCTGTGAGGCCTGTGGCGGAACCCAATAAGAGGTGGCTCCCACCGGGGGCGGCGGGGGGACGTTCAGGCCTGGAGCTGCTGGAATGCCAGGTTGCGCCAGTTGAGGCCCTGGCATGGGGTGGCCCATGGCTTGTTGGGAATATGAGCAAGGCATGGGTTGGGCCATGGGCTGGTTGATGACCATGGGTTGGGCCATGTGTGGGGCCATGTGTTGGGCCATGGGTTGGGCCATGGGTTGGGCCATGGGTTGGGCCACGGGTTGGGCCACGGGTTGGGCCACGGGTTGGGCCATGGGCTGGGGGGCCATGGGTTGGGCCACGGGTTGGCCCTGACCGTACGACTGGAGAACGGCTTGTGCCAGGCGCAAGGCTTCATTTGGATCCATGATTGTGATTGATGTCAGACAAAAATACCAAAGCAATGGGCAAGGCAGACCTTTACTTGTGCCCAAAGACTGCGTGGGTCGCACTTGGCACACTGCTGACAAGAAATCAATGTTAATGGTGTGACTCAGCACTGAAATGCAGCAAGGACATGCCGGGCGAACCACGCCAGCACAATGAACACGACCTCCTGGTAGGAAGACCGAAGAGACCTGGCAAAGATGTCATTTGTCAGAGACCAAACATGTCTGTCAAGATGAAGCAACTGCAGCGGCACAGCTGGCTGTAGTCTACATGGAAGCCTAATCCTTTTTTCGCGCCGCCAGGCAGCAGACCAAGAAACCTCTGCCAGGAGGCCAGCAGGATCAACTAAAAATGTCTCAAGGCCATGCACCATTGCACGCCTCCAATCGAACCTATGATTCGAGAGGCCGTAACCAGTGAACTAAGACTAAGGAGGCCGGACTGGCTGGATGACCCATGTTGGAAGTCTACTTTCCTTTGCCTTTGCCCTTGTGCTCAGGAATCGGGTCCCAAGGATGCATGTTCGTCTCGAACACCTCAGCTGTTTATCGTTGTGGCTAGGCTTTCAGTCGACTGACAAGACAATTGATTCAATTTAAAACTGCGGCGGCCAATTTAAAATTGAAAATTTGCCTGTGTGAATGCCCAGCTACGTACATGCCGCTCGCTGTCGCCCAAGGATGTGAGGCCATGCTGCCACTGTGGTCAAACTGGAACTGATGGGTGCCCCTTTGCACAGCATGCAGGGTCTCAACGTGGGCCTTGGGCACCTTGGGTGTCACAAGCGAGACAAGCCACTCGGCAGCGCAACACACCTTGACAACAGAAGTCATAACCCAGCAAAGGAACCACCATCCTCAAGGCCGCATTTTCAGCAGCAACCCGCCCCACATACTCCGCCATCTGGATATCGTAGGCTGCATCTCGAGGCCCTCAGATCCGCAAAATGATCATGTCATTTTGTCCTTAGGCTTAGGACGAGATTTTAAATTGAGACCAGTAACCAAAGACTTAAGAGAACATGATGTGATCATCCCAAGTAGTAGGCTCCGGAAATGATGAAGTTTGGCGGAGGACCACAATCAAACCCTGGGGCCAGGGACGCTGGCCGCTCCGGCGCGGAGGCGCGTGCGGCGGGCGGCGCAGGGCTCGGCGCAGAGGCCCGGGCGGCGGCCGATGTGGAGGCCGGGGTGTCACTCGGCGCTGATGCCTTCTTTGCCGTCGTCTTGGCCTTCTTGGCCTCCACACTGGCCTTATTTGCCAGAAATGCTTCTGAGATAAAACACCTAAATAAATACTCACACAAGTTGCCATTTGTAGTACTGCTGCCAGCTGCGGCCAAGTAACTTTGTGCGCAGCCCTTTTCTTGCCGCGGTTTGAGTTGGGATCTGGAGGCAAGCATCTGGGAGGCCGAGCCTTTGCCTGATGGGCTGAATAAAAACAAGAACAATGACTAAGATTCAAGCGAGACTTGCTGGCCTAATTTGACTACGCGGAAACCTTGCCTTCTGAGCTTGCTTCGGCGGAGGAGCCGAAGCTGCGCCACTTCCATTTGAGACCGGCATGGGAGGTGGGGCCGTAGCCTTCTCGGGGCCAGAGACCAGCGTAGAAGGCGGGGCCGTAGCCTTCTCGGGGCCAGAGGCCTTCCCCGCATTTGAGGCCGAAGCCTTCTCAAGGCCAGAAGCCTTCCCGGCATTTGAGGCCTGCTCAGGGCCAGAGGCCTTCTTCGGTGGATGAGCAGAAGCTGCCGGCTCAAGGCCAGAGGCCTTCTTCGGTGGATGAGCAGAAGCTGCCGGCTCAAGGCCAGAGGCCTTCTTCGGTGATGAGCAGAAGCTGCCGGAGTTGCAGAAGACTCACTGCTGGAACTAGGGCTTGATGAAGGCATGGGTGATCTGCGCTTCGAGGCCTGCAGGGACACTTATCACTTTCACATATTCTGATATTTTTGTGATTCTGACTCATGGAATTCAAATCGCTGACAAATTCGCCTTCGTCTTCTTCGTGCAACGCTTAGGCCTTTTCCGAGGCTCCCCCGTCGTCCGCCCCATTGCAGCCACTGGGACTGGCCCTAAAATACCTAGGCCTGGGGGCCATTGAGCCGCATGGTTTGCCAATGAAGCATGAACAGGCCCCGCCAAATCATGCCAAAACAATGAGCCGAAGCGAAGCCGTGCCAGGGAGACCTTTGCTGTGGATCTCCGCGGGCTGCCAACGCAACCTCGAGGCAATGTGGCTAGAGGCCTAGACATACCTACAGGTTTTGGGTTTAAGGGTTACTTTGTTAAATTAGAATTATGATGACTGCAAGCTATTCTTCATACTATTTGTCATTGACTCTGATTTTGACTAATTGAAATGACAAATCTTGTTACTCATATTACGATAACGTCGCTATTTTTATTTACTATATTATTCTGAAGGGTTTAGGGTTTAGGGTTTAGGGTTATTAAATTACTGTGAAATATTATTCGTGTTGGCTATTATTATGATAATTCCTATACTATTATTACTAAGACCTCTGATACTTACGACTATGTATGATTATGATTATTATTATTAGTATTACGATTATTACAAATTAAATTATTACGAAATTATTATTATTACTAAATTACATTCAAATTATATTATTATTAATTATTATATTAAATTATTATGATTCAATAAAGTATTACTATTATTATTATTATCATTGTATTAATATTATAATTTTTAAATATTATTATTATTAAATTAAATTATATTATTATTGGGGCTATTAATAAGGGTTTAGGCCAAGGTAGGGATTAGGGAGACCTTAAGTTCGACCAAGTCAACCTTAACCCCTAATAAAACCATTTGGGCCCGGGCTGTGTCCCTCAGGAGGTTCTCGTCGTCGTTGAACGGAAGGCCAAGGCCGGAAGGACATGGGCCATGGCCCGGAGGCCATGGGCCACGGCCCGGAGGCCATGACACCGCGCACCGGAGTGCGCGGTGTCCACACTCCGTGGAGCGTGACAACCACGGCCCGGAGGCCATGGCACCGCGCACCGGAGTGCGCGGTGTCCACACTCCGTGGAGCGTGACAACCACGGCCCGGAGGCCATGGCACCGCGCACCGGAGTGCGCAGTGTCCACACTCCGTGGAGCGTGACAACCACGGCCCGGAGGCCATGGCACCGCGCACCGGAGTGCGCGGTGTCCACACTCCGTGGAGCGTGACAACCACGGCCCGGAGGCCGTGGCAGTGATGACATGCAACTTAGGGTTTAAGGGTTTAGGCCAAGGTAGGGATTGGGAGACCTTAACTTCGACCAAGTCAACCGTAAACCCTCTATTAATTTAATAAAACCATTTGGGCCCGGGCTGTGTCCCTCAGGAGGTTCTCCTCGTCGACCACTTTCAAAGTACCCCAAAGACCCTGAAGACCTAAGACCCAGACCTGCTAGATCAGACCCGGACCTGCTAGACCAGACCCCAGGCCTGAGCCAAAACCACACACACTCACATGGCAGCACTTTCCATCATGCCATGACTGCACTGTGCATCACACAGCGGATCTGAAACAACCCTTGCCCCCTGCCTCTGGCGCAGGAGACCTGCTTCCTCTACTAGACCTGTGGGAAACCTGCCTTCAATCCTGAGACCTGGAGGTTGTCAAGAGCAGATGGGAAGTCAGATTCGGGGCAGCCGAACATGGCCCCCCAACTCCTCTTGGCAACCTCCTTGAGCCTCAAGCTGTGCATGTTTTATGGGTCGTCCTGCCCCCCCCCCTGCCTCAAACAAATACCCCCCCCCCTGCCTCAAGCAAATACCCAAAAAATAAAAAATGTCTCAGAGGACTGCCCAGTAATTAAGGACTCAACGCAAGTAGGGGTCAAGAATCGGGCTGCTTCGTGGCGGATGGCGGGCCCCACAGCAGGCAGCATGGGAGAGTATGGAGGCCCCCAGTATAGACCCCCAAATAGTAGGATCCACTTCTTTGACAGGACCCCAGAGAAGGTACCCCCTTAATTTCGGAAACCCTCATATATGCAAATGAGCCCACAAGAAGCTCTAGGCCGAGCCGCGGCCCTCCTCGATGTCACGCACGGAGTCGCCCACTTTGCAGACGCGCTTCACATTCATCACCTCGTCCCAAGATCGGGCTAGCTTTGGGGGGGAGATCATTACAGCACACGCACACACACACACACACACACCAAAAGACCACCAGGCCAACACAGGAAACTCAGAGGACTCTCTCTCGAAGGACTGACCCCGAGAACTCTCCCAGAGAGAGAGAGAGAGAGCGCGAGAGCGAGAGAGCCAGAGAGAGCCAGAGCGAGAGAGAGCGGGAGAGAGCGAGAGAGCGAGAGAGAGCGAGAGAGAGCGACAGAGAGCGAGAGAGAGAGCGAGAGAGAGAGAGAGCGAGAGAGAGCGAGAGAGAGCGAGAGAGAGCGAGAGCAAGCGTGAGCGAGCGAGCGAGCGAGGGAGGGAGGGAGGGAGGGAGTGGAGACAGTGAGATGTTGTTGATTTTGTTTGTATTTGTTTTTTTTTCTCTCTCTCTCTCTCTCTCTCTCTCTCTCTCTCTCTCTCTCTCTCTCCCTCAAAAAGAAGATGGACGTGGACGGGACGGGGACTCCACTCTCAGCGGTGTTGTGGGGGACCATGAAGCGCAAAGCACGAAGCACCAAGCCACGAAGCACGTCTTCTCAAAGCAACAACACACGAAAGCCTGCTTGACAGAGACTCCGTGAACGAGACGCTGAGAGGCTCCTCCCCCTTCCCAACAAAGAGCCTGAGTCTGCTCCATAAGGTGGTGGATCATGTAGGGATAGGGCCGGCCCTCTGTCACCTGCTGACTGGAGAGGATGACAGAACTTGGAGGTGTCAGGAAGTTTTTCAGAGAGTTTGGGGGGGGGGGGGGGGGGGGATGCTTTGGGGATGTGCAAGAGAGCTGGCGGGCTGCTGCGTAGGGCGAGCCTGAAGCCCATAACTACCCCAGCATCCATCATTGCATATCTCGTGCCCGCAGCAATGGAAGCGAAACAGAGCGCATCCGGTCAGAAAGTAGCAGTTCTTAGCCTCTTCCATGCTGAACAAGAAGAAGTCTCTGAGAAGGTCGTATGATTCGTGCATTAGGCGAGGCGCTAACACCAATGTCTTCACATTTCGCACGACTCGTTCGCACAGACATGCAGACCAAGCGCCGCGGCCTGATAGGAGGAGATGTAAGCATCCGCAATCTTGTCAAAACCCAAGCGCTTGATCAGCCCCTTCCTTGCCGCGTGCGATGCAAAATCTGAGAAAAGCATCCGATGGATTTGCAGACTCTTGTTAGTTCGTGGACACGGGACCGGCCCACGTGCATTTGAGACTTCGGCGTGCTGGCCGACATTTGCTGCACAGAAAGAGGGGGGGGAACACAGAAAGGGGAGGGGGAACGTGAGTTTGTCGGATTCTTAGATGCCTGAACCGTTCTGCAACTGAACCTGAAGCTCCGAACCCGACCGCACACAAGCCCCTACAACGGGTGACCCTTCATAGTTGTCCATACATCCGTAAAGCTGACGATTGTACTTCCTGCGCGTCTACTTGGGCACTCCTCCGTCGTCGTCGTTTTTTCAACATACACAACTTAGTCTCCCTGCCCGTTGTTGCAGCGCTTCTCAGGCCTTCACCACGTACACGGTTCGAAACTTTGCGCATCGTTACCCAATTGCCGCCAACAGACTGGATGTTCTCCGGATAGCCCGTATCCTCTCGCTCAACTGCGGATGCATGATCCCAAACACGACTCTTTCAGATGGCTTCAGCCTGCAAGGCCAGAAGGTCTGTGCAGGTGTGAGTTCGTCAACTGAGGAAGGCTGTACAGGAGCAGCAGGGTCTGTACAGCTTGATGGCTTCAGCTGCATCCACAGAAACATGAGCGGCGCAACCCACGAGCTGCAGTCGGAAAGTCGGAAAGCTGGATCAAGGTAAATTAGGGCACCTAACTCCGCAACTACCCTAAACCCTAAACCCTAAACCCTAAACCCTAAAAGAGGAAAGGCAGCTTAGACATCACGAAGGGGCTTTCTCCAACGCCCACCCCCTGAGCGTCGCGCAAAGGCGATCTTGATGCCAGCATCCTTGAGTTGCCTGCTTTCGGCGCATCCCCCAAGGCCCACATTAGGGTCTAGGGTTTAGGGTTTAGGGTTTAGGGTTTACAGATTTAGGGTTTAGGGTTTAGGGTTTAGGGTTTAGGGTTTAGGGTTTAGGGTTTATAGAAATTGTATAGGGTTTGGGTCCCAAAAGTTTTGAACGAAACGTTTTGAACGAAACGTTTTGATCGAAACGTTTTGAACGAAACGTTTTGTTTTGTGGAACTAGTTTTTGATTTTTGAGAGGGGGGGGAGGGGAGGGGCTGGAGGGGGGAAGGGGGGGAGAGGAAGGGGGGGGGGAGGAGGAGGGGCCCGGTGAAAAAAACTCGCAGAGGAGTTTTTGTTTCACCGGGTGTCCTTTTGCTCGCGCTGTCCTCTTTGGAAGGACGCCCGGTGAAAAACACGTTGACGGAGTTTTTGTTTTGGAATCACTTCTATATTTTTGGGAGCGAGGTGGGGAGCTTGCCAGGACCTAAGTTGGGCTGATTTAGGGCCCTTCGGGGTCCCTGGAGCCTCTTGGGCTTTGGGAGGCGATTTGGGCTTTGGGAGCCAATTTTCGACTTTGGGAAAGCACAATTTTGTGGGCTTTGGAAGCCAATTTTGGGCTTTGGAAGCCGATCTTGGGCTTGGAAGCCAGTTGGGAGCAACTTGGGCTTTGGGAGCTTGTTTTTTGGGCTTTGAGAGCCAATTTTTGGCTTTGGAAGCTAATTGTTGCAATTTGGGCTTTGGGCTCTGCGAGCCAATTTTCGGTTGTGGAAGCCAATTTTGGACTCTTTGGAGCCAATTTTGGGCCAAATCCAAATTTGGGTGGGAGGCAATTTTGGGCTTCGAAGGCTTTTGGGTTTTAGGGGCCAATTTGGGCTCCGGAAGCCAATTTGGGGCTGTTTGGGGAGCAAGTATTTTGGGCTCTGGAAGCCAATTTTGGGCTTTCGAAGTGGTTTGGGCTTTGGTTGGCTTTGGGAGCCAATTTTCCGCTTCCAATTTTGGGCTCTGGAAGCCAATTTTGGGCTTTGGGAGGCGATTTGGGCTTGGGTTGGGCTTTGAAAGCCAACTGGGGCTTTGGGACTTTGGTTGGGCTTGGGAGCCAGTTTCGGCTTTGGAAGCCAATTTTGATTTTGGGCTTTGGAAGCCAATTTGGTCTTTTGGGAGCCTGTTTTGGGCTTTGAGAGCCAATTTTTGGCTTTGGAAGCTAATTTGGGTTTTGGGCTTTGGGAAGGCAATGTTGGGCTTTGGGAGTCAATTTTGTGCTTTGGCGTTGGCAGCCAATTTTGGGCTTTGGGAGCCAAATTTGGGCATTGGGAGCCAGTTTTGGGCTTTGGGAGCCAATTTTGGGCTTTGGGAAGCCAATTTTGGGCTTTGGGAAGCAATTGGAAGCCAATATTTGGAAGCCAATTTTGGGAGGCGATTTGGGCTTTGGTTTGCGCCGGGACCCGGCAAGGCCCCAGAGGTTAAAGTAAATTGAACATTTGGCCGCCCGGCTTCCCGCTTGGATTAATTTACTTAAACTCTGTTTGTCAGCTGTTTAGACAAGTATCTTGGAAAATTCAGAATGAGGCCACGTACAATTTCTATTTATTTTGTCTTGAGGGTTTAGGGTTTAGGGTTTAGGGTTTAGGGTTTAGGGTTTAGGGTTTAGGGTTTAGGGTTTAGGGTTTAGGGTTTAGGGTTTAGGGGTTCGGGTTTACGGATTAGGGTTTAGGGTTTAGGAAAAGGGTTTAGGGGCTTTTGGGTTCCAGGAGCACTCAAGAACTTCGGAAGAAGCTTTGTGATGGGTTTTGCCGGGGCCTGAAGTAGCCCAGGAGGCCAATGTCGATGTGGTCGATCGCCTCACTTTATTGGGGCCGAGATATGGGCATGGCCGGTGCATTAGGGCTTGCAGCCTTACAGTGCACAGAGAATGCATTGGTCTCTGTAGGTATTAGGATATGCCTGTGTGTGTGTATACATATACACGTGCTTATGTCTATGCATGTGCATGTATATGTACATGTAAACCTATATTTGTGTGGGTGTGTGGGTGTGGGGGTGTGTGGGTTGTATGCGCGTGCGGGTGTTTGACTGCCTGCACGCGCGTATTCCTTATCAAAGGAGTGCCCCAAATAGCTCCCAAATCTAATGACTCAATCGGTCTCTACACGCTGCTTCTGGGGAGTATCTCAGAATGTCATATGGCCACCCACCTTACGCACCAGAAGGGTAGGGCTGTGGCTGAAGCCTCGTTGAAGTAGGCATCATCGATGGCGTTGACGAACCTGCATTCCGGATGCGATCAGGGCTTCGTTGAAGCGCTCAGGATCTGCTTGCATAACGACGTCCGTGCCAGATGTAGACTGGAAATCCCTCCCTTAGCCCCCAAGTCCTGAACCCTTCAGCTCATAGGCCCAGCATGCTGGCCACCATGCTTGACTTAGCCATAATGCGCGCGATGTTCTTACAAACAACAGAAGTAAGTGCTCACCCACCTTAGGTACCGAGATTGAGTTCGATGTCGGACGCCCCTCCCCCTCTCCACCACCAAAAATAGTGTTTTCTTCACTTCGAATCGAAGGGGCTCAGGGGAGTGGGCACTGCAGGGATACACTTCGAGATTCCCTGCGCGGCTCTTCCAGGGATGCTCGGAAGATAGCCTTGCACGACCCCAACCCCACACCGACAACTTGGGGCAAAAAGCATCTTGAACCCCTAAACCCTAAACCCGAAACCCCAAAGATTCAGGCAGGCGGCCATTCCCCCACGCGCGTCACGCGCTCCGTGATGTCATCTGGCGGAGTTCCTGCCTCGGGTGCCCAACAGCTGGTCTCTTCCGATGTCGCAGGGCCCTTAGGGTTTAGGGTTTAGAATTTAGGATTTAGGGTTTGGGGTTTGGGGTTTAGGGTTTAGGGTTTAGGGTTTAGGGTCTAGGGTCTAGGGTTTAGGGTTTAGGGTTTAGGGTTTAGGGTTTAGGGTTTAGGGTTTAGGGTTTAGGGTTCAGGGTTTAGGGTTTAGGGTTTAGGGTTTAGGGGGCTTCCGAACCTTCAGCGCGAAGTGCTCGATCACGGCCTCCTTCTTCGCCTCACTCTGCGCTGATGGTGCTGAGGAGTCGTATGCACTCGGATTTTGCCCCCCCCAAGAAGTTGCGCAGAGAGTTGATCCGACGTGTTCCAGGCCGGCTAGGCTGATGTTAAACCTAAAAATGCCACCCTATAAGCTGCAGCTTTCTTGGAGCTTTCCAGACGAGCAGCGCCATGCCAGGGATGCCTCGGCGGGCGAAACCGTGACCCCCAAGCCCCCTTAGGCAACCACAAGGGTAACAAGAACATCTGCACCGAAGGCAACTTGTTGCTCTGTTCTCCACGCATAAGGCCGTCATATGTTCAAAGGTCGTGTACCTACCTGTTTCGGTTTGGGGGGCTAGAGGCCTGTTTCGTTTGGGGTGACTGAAGAAGCTTGAGGGCGCAAAAGGCTTAACTTAAGAGCGCTGGGGCCCGCTTTCTAGCGCCTCGCGCCTGTGTTCCTCTCATGCCTTGTCCAGACAACGCGAAAATCCCAAAACCTTGACCCCCAGTGTCCAAAAAGCATGCCGATACCCTCTGTTCGCGAATCACGCTTGTGGATCCCGAATCCAATGTTCTTGCTACAAGAGCCGGCAAGGCGGCAACAGCGACCAAGGCGGGTAAAGACGACTCACTGCTGGCGAGCCGAGGCGCATGTCCTCGTCTGACACCTGAAGGCCATCTTCACCTCGGCATGCTGCATGCTTGAACAAGCTCCAGTTACAAGGCCTCTAGTGGCTTGCTCGGCTCGTCTGCACATGTCGGGGCCCAGAATAGGACAACCCAGAGCCAGAAGCCAGAGGCCTAATTGGCCTGATTCTTTCTCGTGCCCAAGTCCAAGCCACGCATTGCCAACTGCAGGGTCTTGTAGACAATGCCGCCCTCCTGCCCCACACATCTCGCGTGCATGAAGTGCTGCTGCAGATGCCGCAGCAGAGACCGTGGTGAAAACGAGAAGCACATCCCCACAGCTCAGCCCTCCGCCAGCAGGCACAAATGGCAAAAAAGTGTCCTGCACCGTCGTCCCGGCCATGTCATAGACGACCAGGTCAATGTCGTTGAGCAGCGTCCGGGTCGCCTCCGGCTTCACTGGCTTCCGCAGACTTCAGCGTTGGCTTTGGAAAAACGGTTCACCACCCGGGCTGCGCAAGTCTCTGGCACTTTGAATGGGCATCCTGGATGCTCTTGGGCTGAGGATGTGGCACCACGAAGGGAGCGCATACATCAAAGGAGGGGTGCTGCTACCTCCACCTACACCTGGCCTTCTGGCCTTCCACCTCCGTGCATTGCTTTCCAGGCTCCGCGGCGGCAGAGATGCTTCAAAGCCTAAAGACCTTGCGAAGCCGGTAGTGTCAACAACACCCTGAAACCTCCTGAAACCCTCAATGACACCCTCAAGTCATCAACGCGAAGCCCTCCCCGCAAAAGAAGCCCCGGGGAGGGCCTTCCGCAGCATGGTCGGGCTGAGCGTGATGGGCTGATAGGATGCGGCCTGGAACCGGCTGCGGCTAAGGCTAAGGGGGGGGGGGGGTGGCTCCAAGATGTACTGAGTATAAAAGCTTCGGGTTCTGCAGTTGAGCATTGGGGAAGAGGGATGGAGCTGATGAAAGGCCAGCCGCCACCCAGGGGCCCCCCGCACCCCGAACTGGAAAAGAGAACGCACAATCTTCAGCCGCCTTCTCGGAAAGGTAGCGGCAACGGGGCGGCCGTCGAGCCTCGGGGTCGCTTAAACTTCTCGGGAGACTCTTTGGCAATCGTGGGGGATCATTGTGGGACCGCTGGGTGGCGTGCTGACATATGTTCGTGAGTAGGCAGAAAAATATGAGTAGACACAAGCTGCGCGGCGACGGAAGCGACTGCGGTACGCGCTGTGCAGAGTTTTTTGCGGTCACAAGGCGACGAGCAGGTGCCGAAAAGCTTGAAACGGTTTCATCGAAGTCCTTATTCGTGTCCAAGAGCTGTCTCCGAGCTTCTCATGGCGTTCAGCCTGCCTTCACAAGCCCTGAGGCTCTTGTGTCTGTATCCTCCAAGGTTGCTCCTACAGACCCTAAAACCCTAAACCGAAGACCTGAGTCGCCAGCGAGCGCATGGCCAGCGGCTGCGGGAAGCCTCTGGCCACAAACTCTGCGACTTGGAGGGGGAAAGGCTTCAAGAAATAGGCCAGCGGCTGGGTGAAGTTTACAGGGTTTCTACGGCTTAGGGGTGGCAGCAAAGGCAAACCTGATTCGGTCTGAATACGAAAACCATGGTGGGTCCAGGCAACCCATGCCCTGACCTTAGCCCACTTTGCGTTTTGCTTCTCTTTGGGGGGGGGGGGGGGGGGGGGGTGAGCAGAGGGGTTTATGCGGTACTCACAGTGCCTGAAGAGTCAAGCCAAGATCGCTAAAGAGACCCACCATCTGTTCTGCGGCCGCTCGAACAAAACAAGAGCTTGCAACTTCGCTGCCTGAAAGGATGCCCGGCCTCAGCATCCTCGTCATGGCCCACATGGCTCTGAGTCAGCTCTAATTTGCTCTGGAGGCAAAAGTTGGAGAGCGAAAGAAGCATCTGCAAAAGAGTGGTGACAACAGGATCTTGCCCTGAGATCCGGGGCCCTAAATGGCCTGGGACAGGTCAACTTACCTCCGGCGAGCTGGCTGCAAAAGCTGCGAGGCGTTCTGTGGGCACGGTATCAGCATGGAACAGATATGGGGGTTTCCGAAAATAGGGGTACCCTTTTGGGGTTTCTTTAAAAGGCTTAGAAAGTATTTTGGGGTATATAAGGGGTTCCGGCCATGTATCAACAGGTTGGCTGACAGGAAAACACACAAAATGCTCACATATTGGGCTGGTCGGCATGCGGGCCATCCCCCCCTATAGGATCCTCACGCCATGGCCTCACACGAGTACCACAAGACCTGCTGCTCTCCTTCTCGTAGCCTCGAGACCAGGTGCGATGCCTTCAAATACTTGACAACTCTGAACCTCGACCCTCTGCAACATGCCGAAAAAAATGCGCGGGAGTTCCAGAAACCTGCAAACAAAGAGCTCAAGGGCCCACGCACCCACATACACCACGCGCATCCCCACTTATTGAAAAGGCCCCAAGCAAGGCAGGGTCTCGCACCGATGGCGCGGAGGGTTCCGCGGGAGGCGAGCCCCCTTGGCGCTGGAAACGTGTGGGGCTTCGGACTTGCCTGCGCGACGCCTCTGTTCTGCAGGCGCAGCGCTGGTTCTTTTTTTTCGAACTTGGCTTCTCGGAATGCCTGCGCTGTCCAAAGTTTCAGCCATGGGGCAGCCGTCGAAGCCGCCATCCCAACTGCATCGAAGTTGAGTTGACTACAGATTTGCTCGTCTGGCAGGGAAGAGGGGGCAGGAGGCGGGGTGGGTGCAAAGCTCAGAACCTGAAGCACTAGAGCCACTAGAGCCGTGCAAATGGTGCAGACATATGCGCATATACCAGAATTTTCCGAGATTGAATGGGGCCGGCTGCAGTGGGGGGGGGGGTGCAGGGTGCCAGATCAGATTACTTTGCGACCTTGGCTAGGCGGAGTCGCAACGGCACATGCTGTGGGTTCAGGCAATCTAGACCGGCGCGCCTGGCTTTGCCAAAGTCGACATGGACCTCCGCACATGAGGCTCGGCGCGGTGAGATTTACACTCGGCTGGGGTCCTGGAGAAGTGGATTCCGTAAGGAGAAAGAGAAAGAAATAGAGATTGAGAGAGAGAGAGAGGGGGGAGCCTACCATGTTCGAAAAGCTGGATCCGTCGCATCGGACTCAGGCTGAGCGCGCAGGGCCCGAAGGCCCAAACTTCGCTCAATCCCCTTGGTCCCCGCGCGGGCGATGGCTCGCTGGCACCCTCGGCAGAGATCTCGCCTGGCACATGTTGGAGAATCAAAAACACTCAGAGGTGCTTAGCTGGGACTGACAGCATCCTGCAAACCACTCCTCTGGAAGATACGGCTTGGCCCTTGTATGCTTCGCCTTTTCCGCCCATCAGGGGCCCACCTGGAAGCTCCGACTGGTGGCGCTTGCCTTGGCGCAAGACACCAAAAGCGCTCAGCCAACAACATCCTTCCTCCCTGCCCGAAACACACGCAGGTCAGGCTTGGTGGAGTCAGATTCGGGGCTTACTTGGGGTACCAAGAAAGCCTAAGGAAATGAAGTGAATCTTGCAACTGAATGCACAAGAGTACTTCTGAACATCGGAGCCATTCATGCCTCCGCCTATCCTTGCCCAGGGGACATGTCCGAAAAATGAACTTCAAACATCCAGAATCCCATCGGCCCCAAACGACAAAAACTAGATTACTCAACACCATGTCCCCTCTGAAGCCCGATGAAGCTCATGGGATTAGCAGTCGTCACCATAGCTCTGACAGGTTGTAACCACCAGTGGCAATGTTCGTTTTCTCCTCAAACCCTTTTCAGGCCATCCAGCAGGTGATCGGGGGACCCTAAACCCTAAACCCTAAACCCTAAACCCTAAACCCTAAACCCTAAACCCTAAACCCTAAACCCTAAACCCTAAACCCTAAACCCTAAACCCTAAACCCTAAACCCTTCATTTGGTGCGCCCGTTCTTTCCCCGCCGTTGCAGCTCAAGGTCTTCAAGCCCCGGTTGGGGAGTGTGAAGTTACTTCGCTTCTGGGCCATCGGTCTGGGATCTACTCTCGAACCTAAACCCTAAACCTTAAACCCTAAACCCTAAACCCTGAACCCTAAACCCTAAACCCTAAACCAAGCAGCTCCTTTTCCCGAAGCTCGGGGCGCTCGCTCTTGTGCTTGTGCTTCTTCTTGTGCTTCCGGCGGCCCGCCTCCTGGATGTGTAGGTTTAGGGTTTAGGGTTTGGGGTTTGGGGTTTGGGGTTTGGGGTTTAGGGTTTAGGGTTTAGGGTTGAGGGTTCAGGGTTTAGGGTTTAGGGTTTAGGGTTTAGGGTTTCGAAGCTCAGAGTACCCACTTTTGGCTGAAAAGCCTTACAAGCCCAGGCCTCCTCGGTGGAAGGAGAGGGCTCTTCCGGCCTCACGACGTCTTTTTTTGGGGGCTTTCTGGGGGCTCCGCAACACCTCAGTCCGCTGGTTCTTCTGGGACTTCTTTGCAGGGTCCTAAAGGATCCAGTTTTGCACGGAGGATGCAGGTGGAAGACGCTGTCCTCAAAGTCTCTGCACCTTGCATGTGAGGACATGTGAGATCAGGTGAGATATTGTGAGCCGTCCCACTCAGAACCCTAAACCCTAAACCCTAAAGCCCTAAACCCTAAACCCTAAAGCCCTAAACCCTAAAGCCCTAAACCCTAAACCCTAAACCCCCAATGTTGGTGAGATGGGAGCCCCGGCGAGCGTGGCTCGGCAACGGGAGGGGCCGCTTGAACCTGGCGGGGCTTCCGGCATCGTTCCAGGGCTGTTGATATAGGATGATGGGTTTAGGGTTTAGGGTTTAGGGTTTAGGGTTTGGGGTTTAGGGTTTAGGGTTTGGGGTTTAGGGTTTAGGGTTTAGAGTCCAGACTGAAATTCAAGCGCGCCTTCTCCCGCGGCTTCTCCGGCGGCTTCTCGGGCGGCTTCTCCTGTGGGGACGGCTCCCAGAAGCACCATGGCCGGGCTCGCTGGGCTTTAGGGTTTAGGGCTTAGGGTAGGGTTTAGGGTTTAGGGTTTAGGGTTTAGGGTTTAGGGTTTCGGGTTTAGGGTTTAGGGTTTAGTCCTAAGCAAACTGAAACAAAACCACTCCCGTGCTGTCCTCGAGCACGCCCAAAGCTGCTGCCTCGGTGATGGCAAACTCTGCAACACAGTGCGAACGACTGCTTCACTGTCAGATGCCGTACCGTGGATGCTCCTCGTTTGTGTTCGGTAAACGATTTTTTTGCATGTTTTACATGGCTCTCGAAGAGCAACTCCAACCTCATGCAGCTCCCCCGCCCTGCGAGGCCCCAAAACTCTCCCTGATCCTCCGGCCTCGGCCATGACGGCGGCCTAAGCGCTCGGTAATCTTGAAGCGTTTGTGGGGTTTATTTTGGGGGGGTTAGGGGGGTTTAGGGGGTTTTGGGGGGGTTTGGGGGGCTCTAAATTGAACTCCTCAACCACCAAGCTTCGGATCGGCTCCGCTGGTAGGGAAAAGAAGACCAGCTCGGCTGGTAGGGAAAAGAAGGTGGAAGGAGGGTGGTTGTTTGGTGGGTCTCTCTTGCACTGCTCCTGTTGCAGATTGTGAGCTATTAGCTGGTCTCTCAGCATGTTCCGACAAAGGCCCTCCAGAAGGAGTCATATCTGTGGTAGCCCGGTTTCATCTAGCACCCCCTCAAAGGACGAGGTGTACGCCTCGGCTTCCTGCCGAGAAACGTTTGGAACAAGCAGACACGGATCCGGTCTCCTTCCCCCTAACCCAACCCTTCCCCTGAAACCCCTCCTGGACCCCTGGGCCCTTTCTTGGGACCCCCCCCTCCCCTTTTCTTGAGGCCCTCTTTCCTCCTTTCCTGTGGGCCGGCCCGGCTGCGCGCAAGCGTTTACATTTATTGTTCTGGAGCAGATCCTGCCACGATCCAGGAGGAGTCCGAGTGTCCGCGCTAGATTCGCCTCGGCTTCCTGCCGAGAAGCGTTTGGAACAAGTGCAGACCCGGATCCGGTCTCCTTTTGCCTGCAGAATTTTGTGACGCACCACCCCCCCCCATCGCTTGGAGGAGCTGCAAACCGATGCCATGGGGGGTCCCGCCTGTCGGCGGCTCTCAGAGGGGGCGCTCCAAAATGCACGGGGACTTTTTCTAGGGACCTTCGCTGGGACCTCCTGAAGCCCGGGACCCTTTGTGGGACCCCCCCCCCCCTGCGACCCCCCCTTTTTTTTTGGGAATGTTGGACCTTTTCCAAAACTCCTTTCCTGTCCTGGGCCTTGGCCCGGCGCGCGCAAGCGTTTACAGTTACAGAGGTCGGCATGCAGAGGTAAGCTTCCCCGCTGAATTTCGAGAGGTCTCATACTGAAAGCAAACCCTTGACAACATAGAGACGAGACATCCCAAACATCCGCGCTTTTGTTGAGCTGTCTGCGTATTTGTTTGCGGCTATGTGCGGCATTTGCTTTGGGCTATCTGCGGCATTCTTTGCCGCGCTGGTCGCGCTGCCTGCTATTCCTGCTACACCCTCCGCTTCTGACGGGCGACCTGGGTCCTTTCATGTTGGGCTACCGACGCCTTTTCCCCACTCCAGGGCTTTTCGGGCTCAGGCTACATGCGAAAAGGGTTTAGGTTTTGGGGGTTTTAGGTCTATAGGGTCTAGGGTGTAGGGTTTGGTGCTTAGGGTTCTTTGCTCAGGGTCGTGGCATTCGGCCCGGAACCTGTTTAGGGCTCGTGGCGAGTCGAGCAAAGGCAGTGCTGAGCACCCTTTCCTGCTTCGTCGGAACCCGCAAAAAATGTACCCCAAAGCACCATTAGGGTGTAGGGTTTAGGGTTTAGGGTTTAGGGGTTAGGATTTAGGGTATGACACATGACAATGAATCCCGCCAGTCGGCATGACGCTCGGCATTCGTCAGCTTCTTCTTTGTCGGCGCAGGGGCTTCGTCACCCGAGTCGTTGCCGCCCACGAGCCTGCAACAATGGGGCCCAATGGCAGACTGGATGGGGTTAGGGTGGGGAGGGCGGTGTTTGTGTGGTAGAGGGGGTTGTAGGGGGCAGCTGCTAATGGAATTGTCTGGACCTGAACTGCGTAGAAACCCGTGAGCAAGGAAACGGGAGGTCCTCGTGTGGCGAGTTTAGCGAAGGCTGTGGTCGGGGATTGCATCCGGTCAGTGCATCGCTTCGGCCTGACCTCTTTGGCATGAAGTTGAAAAGGGGTGCGACTTGCTGGGCTGTATGCAAAACCCTAAACCCAAAACCCGAAACCCAAAACCCGAAACCCTATACATCCTAAACCCTATAAACCCTAAACTCGAAACCCTAAGTGGAACAATGAAGCGAGAACGCCGGCCGTCCGAAACCGCCGAAGCCGCTGAAGCCCCAAACCATGGCTTCATCCAAGCGTCGGGGGGGTTAGGGCTCTTGTAAGGGACCTTAGGGGTTTCTTTAGGGGCTATTTAGGGGCTACTTAGGAATATAGGGACTATAGCTATTTAGGGGCTACTTAGGAATATAGGGACTATAGCTTATGATGGCTTTATGCTGCAGGTTGAGGTGGGTTGGGGGGATTCGGGAGTGAGGGGAGCCCAACCGAACAGAAAGACGTTGCGAGAGAAGGTGAGCTGGTCTTCAGGGCCGCGGCAGGGGGCTCATAGGGTTTAGGGTTTAGGGTTTAGGGTTTCGGTTTAGGGTTCAGGGTTTAGGGGCTCATAGGGGCTCATGTCCATCAGCTGACGAGCACACGTGCGGCAGTCATGTGTCGAACGTCTGCGCCCCGACATGTCCCGACGAGGGCAGCCAGCAGCTCCGTATGTGAAGCCGCCCCTCAAGACTCAAAACCTGACTCAGAGACTCATCAAACCAGACTCCTTGTGAAGTGTGCGGGACATGTAAGGTCCCCAAAGTTCAGCCTACGCACTGAATCACCCAGGCAGGCCCCACCCCTAAGCCCCAGCCCGAAACCCCAGCGCTGCACCTCAGCCCGAAGCCCCCCCTGCATCTGTCCACGCAATAAGCTTTTTGTTCAGCTAACCAGTCTCGGCGGCCACGGCTGAGCCACGGCGCGCGGCGTAGGACATGGCCTTCCTCGAAGCTTTTCGGATCATGAGAGATTCGGCAGGGAGCTCACGGCGAGTGTTGAAGTAGACCCCAGTGGCAACACAAGTCTCAAGCTGCACTGGCATCAAGACATCCATCTGAGGTGCACATGCGAGCCAAGAAAGATTGAACTCCCAAAGCACTGTCCCACCGATGCCTGTATTCCGCAAAAGACAGGAATTTGGTGCCGTCCCCACTGAGGGCCTGAAGGCCAAAACTTTTGCACAAGGTTGAGTCAAATTGAAGGCCCTGGCTGTCACTCTGAAGGAAAGCATGTTGCGAGCAGAGGCGTCAAGCAGATGATCTTCCTCGTTCTGGCCTGGAAGTGAGGACTTAGTGGTGGCCTCACATCCCTCCTTACAGCCCAAAACACGCTACAGGGACCCTGAAATCAGAAAACCAGTCCGAAACTGTCCAGGGCACCATCGCGCTTTGGCGTCGACGGCCATAGGACATGGTCTCGCGGTACCTGATTTGGAATTCTGGTGAGCTGCACTCTGATGCCGGCGTGGAATTCGCAGGCAGCAAACAGTGGACAGCGCAAGGCCCGCCCCAGAGAACTCCAAGGGCCCAATGGCCATGGAGCTGCGCTTCACCCAAGCATGGTCACATTTGACCGATCATTTCAGGAACTACGGGAGAAAAGTCCTTCCCAAGTGCCCGAGAGGCAGGGGAAGGAGCAGGTTGCAGGTCACGGAACGCGCTGCTTTTTACGATGGAACAGCCAGCACACCGTGACGCAAAACGAGCGCCGCAAGGCGAGATCTTTACCGAATGTCCTTGTGTCCTCGCCAAAACATGACCCAGAAGAAGGAGACTTTATTTACTAAGTGTGGTCAATCGCTCAACCCTCAAGCCCTATGCCATAACAGCCCCGGAGTTCACCTCTGCTGGGCCAGCGCGGCTGCACGCCGCTGCTTGTAGCCCTGGAAAGCCAGGGTTTAGGGTTAAGGGTTTAGGGTTTAGGGATAAGGGTTAAGGGTTTAGGGTTTACGGATTTCGACGTGACTTGGGATTGCTTACTTTGATTCGGCTGCCGTTGTCAGGAGTGGCGGCCAACCGTCTGAAGCCAAGAAGCACGAGCCCTGAAAGAGACATCAACTTGCCAGTTTCACCCAAGGTCCCTCCATTGTAAGAGTCATTCCCAGTCGTACGCAGAAGCAAACTGGGCCTGATTGGGTTCATCCGGCTCTGGCGCCTTGCTAAGCAAGGAGGCTTCTCGGACGTCGTAGTTCAATCACTTGAGTCTAAGCCCTGATAATATTAATATAATATAACATAATGTTATGGAACATAACATAATATGATATAATATAATATCATATCATATAATGTCATATGATATAATATAATGCAATATAGCATAATATAATATGAAATAATATGACAGAAACTTCTAAAGCTGAGAGCAGCGCCGGAGCCTGCAGCTGCACGTCGGGGCCTGCAGCCGAGATCTGGAACCTTCGGCCCTGCGAACAAAAGCCCCCTCGCCTGGCATGGGAACATTAGGGGTTTAGGGTTTAGGGTTTAGGGTTTAGGGTTTAGGGTTTAGGGTTTAGGGTTTAGGGTTTAGGGTTTAGGGTTTAGGGTTTAGGGTTTAGGGATCTCATTATCCTTTGAACTCCTTGCCGAAGCCTCAAAGTCCCATCTGGGCCCAATCTTGAAGTGCGGTCCAGGGTGCGCTGGGACACGGCAGACACGTAGGACGCGTTGGACTCCGCGGAAGCCCTGAGTCACACAGAAGATCACGTACAGAATAGGGCCCCAAAAAAGCACATAAGCAAAAATTAGGATAGGGATATCCCAGATAAACCCCCTTATAATGAAGCCCAATAAGGTAGGGATATCCCTATAAAGTGCTTATGCTTACGTCCCTTTTGGGTCCCTAACAGAAGGCTGAAGGTCTGGGGGCTTGTGGCGGAGATGCCGATCAGAAACTCTTCGGTGCTTCCGGGCTCCAAGCCGAAACCTTGAGAACCATCAATTCCAAAACCTCGCCCAAACCTTGCGGACCACGATCCCGCTCAAAGCTTCTTCGAAAGATTCGAGGCCCGAGCGCTCGGACCCGGGAGCCGGTGGCCTCGGCACCGAGTTGGGGGGTTTACGAACACTACCGGGCCCCCTGAAATAGACCCCCCCAAATAGTAGGATCCCCTTATAACCCGGATTTCAAGAAGGTACCCCTGATGTCGTAAACCCCCATTTCTGCTGCCAAGAGCAAGATGGACACTGGGAGCGGCCGAGGCTCGCTCTCCCAAACTGGGACTGGGAGCCCTCAACATCGGGAGCCCTTAACAAAGGGAGCCTTGAAATGGGAGGTGTAAAAAATGGGAGCCCTTAACAAAGGGAGCCCTTAAAAATGGGAGCCCTGAACCCTAAACCCTAAACCCTAAACCCTAAACCCGAAACCCTAAACCCCAAACTGAGGTTGGGGCCGAGCCCGAGGCTCCCGAGGCGCCTCGAGGGCCAGGCGGCGCCAAGCTGGAGCCGCCCTCGGGCTTCGCGGCTTTGGGCTGCAGTCCTCGACAAGGGTCTAGGGTTTAGGGTTTAGGGTTTAGGGTTTAGGGTTTAGGGTTTAGGGTTTAGGGTTCATGTAGGTCCAAGGCGCTGTGAAATTGGACACCTAGGTGCGCCTGCATGCCTGTATGCCTGCATGAGGCGAATATGGCCGATGAATGCTTGGATCTCGACTTTTGTCACAGCAGAAGGTCACACAAGGAAGGCCTCATGTAAAAGGCAAGGTCTCAAGGCCCCCCTCCCCAAGTGGTGCGGCCTTGACCCCGAGCAGGCGACTTGGCCGCCGGCGCCTCGTGTCTCGAAAGAAGACTCACGTCGATCTCTCCCCTCTTTCCCCCCCCCTCAGACTCCATCAACCAGGTTTTTGAGAGGGATCTTAGGCGCAGAACTCCAGCGTCGTGGGGGAGAGGCCAGGCTTTTTGGACTGTCTTGGGTAGCTTCAGTTTTCTGCCGCCGGCTTCTCACCAAGGACCGCTGATCCCGAATGGAGCAACGCGCGTGGCATGGCGCGAGTATCGATGATGGGCTACCCTCAAGGATCCTCCACCGCAACAAGCCCTGTAGAGCCACTCCCAGCCCCTCGAGCAGTGGGTGGCCCGAGGGGCAAAGAGGGATCCCTGGGTGGAGTCCGCACGAGAACTGGGCTCCAGGCAATCGAGGCAGTCGGGGAGGGCAGAGAGGCGGAGGCAGACGCAGACGAGGACCTAACGTCTCCAAATCGTGGTGTCAGGGAGGTCAGGATGTTCAGGAGGGTGGTGAGGCTGTTTGGTAGTGTACGTACACGACACGTGTTTTATACGTGGGTAGTTCTCTGAAGTAGGGTCCGTTTTGGGGTCCTATTTGAAAAAAGTACGGCTTGTCATCAGGACCCCAAATGGGAGAAAACAGTTGGGAGAAATACCTGCTGGATGATCGTCCACTCCGCGAGGCGAGTACAAGCCTGCGGTCCGTGGGCGCTTCGGGAGCCCTAAACCCTAAACCCTAAACCCTAAACCCTAAAACCCTAAAACCCTAAACCCTAAACCCGCAACCCTAAATGTGAGCACAAAGGTCGGACGCCTCCTTTCTCCTGGGGGCCAAGCTCAACTCCATCCCGCCATGGCAACCTTTAAACCCTAGAATCCCTAGATTAGAAGACTGCAAGAATCCCAGAACCCCCAATGCTGACCCGGGTTTAGGGTTTAGGGTTTAGGGTTTAGGGGTTAGGGTTTAGGGTTTAGGGTTTAGGGTTTAGGGCTCGCCGGGCAGCCTCCTGGGCCCCCAGGCTTCTCCGGTTTCCCCTTCTTCGGGCGAACTCGGCTGGGGCTCTTGGACTTGGACCCCGCGACCTGACCAGTGGCTAATCACATGCCTCTTGCGCCGATCTCGCTACCACCGATGGACCTGGGCCCCGCTGAGAGCCGGGCAGAAAGAATTCTGGTAGAAAAATCTAAGTTCTATTTTGGCTGGAGTGCTGGTAGCCCTAAACCCTATACCCTATACCCTAAAAGCCCTAAGCCCTAAACTCCAGCAGATCGCGGCAAACCTCCAGACCCTGCCCAGCGGCCTGGTCACTACGCTCGCTGCGGTCACCTGGGCCAGTTGAGGGCATTCGAACTCTGAGACTCTGCGGCTCAGACCTAGTTTAGGGTTTAGGGTTTAGGGTTTAGGGTTTAGGGTTCAGGGTTTAGGGTTCAGGGTTCAGGGTTCAGGGTTCAGGGTTCAGGGTTCAGGGTTCAGGGTTTAGGGTTTAGGGTTTAGGGTCTGTTTCTCTGCAAGTGAGTCCAAAGCTGCACTCGAAGGCCCTCAATGCACTGTGGGGTCCAGGCCATCTGACGTCTTGGTCTTGCTTTTGGTCCTGCTCACTTGGCTCTGCAAAGTTTAGCGGTTCAGCATGCACAGCTGGGATGGCCTTGCAAGCAAGACTTTGGCATCTCCAGTCCACAAAGAGCTGTATGACTCCACGCGTGCAGACGCTCGTTCATTGGTAGCTATCCCACCAGAATGCTTGAGAACACGTGCAAGGACCGCCTCGTCTGTTCTGCCATGAGCTTGAAGCGCGCAAGGATATGAACCTACGAACTTCGAGGGATGTACAACTGGCCACTGGTCCATGGGAGTAAAGATGAAATGAGTGAAGAGAACCCGAGTCTTCGAGACGTTTCCATGGGTCTGTTCCCTCCATGGACCTTTGGAGCGGGTAATCATAGCCTCAGGGCTAAACATACTAAACAGTCTAATGACCAAACCGATCCCACCACTCCTTCCCCCTCATCTCTCCTCTCCACCTAAAGATCAGAAAGCTGATGAGCCGTAGCAGCACAGCAGAAGCGCGCACGCGTTGACGAAGGTTCGTCTCGACCCAAGTCAAGGTTTGGGGGAGAGGGGGGGGGAGAGGGGGCTCCTAAGGTAAGCCGCAAGTCCAGCAACTCAAGAAGGTCGAACCTCACATGTCAGGGCTGAGCTGGAGCCCTCGAGCTCGAGCGATGAAGTGCTCCAGAGCATCCTTTTTTTGGTCGAAGGCCCGCGGTCGCTTCGGCCAGCGGAGACGAAGTGACGCCATGTGCCGGCACGGGCAAAAGCGGGAGATGCAGAGCCAACCAGATACCAGATTGCCTGAGTCAGCTACATCAGCCCAGGTCTTCGGATTAGGGCCTTAGGGTCTAGGGTTTAGGGTTTAGGGTTTAGGGTTTGGGGTTTAGGGTTTAGGGTTTAGGGCTTAGGGTTTGGGGTTCGAAATCCGACGGCCAAAGAAATACCGGAAGCCAGGAAGGACCCCCCCCCTCAAAAGCATCTTGCCTACAGCATTCGTACCCCCTGACATCCTGAATGTGAGACCCTCTGTCTGTCCCCTGATTCCTTGCTTCCCCGCATCGGAGGTGGTTTCTGTTGCTCACAAAACCATTCGAGCCTACCCAACTCCATAAAGGCTGCCTTGCCTTAGCTGCCATGACAAGAGGCGTGTTCCTCTGGCCTATCCGAAAGTGTGTTCAAGGACGGAGGTTGTGTAGTCTGTGAACTGCGAAAGGACTTTGTAGAAATCCTGCATCTCAAGAAGCATCAAGCGCCTAGAACATCTTGAAGTCAGGGCCTAAGGATTTCTGTCGGCATGCTCCGCGGCACGGTGCTGAGGAAAAACCAGCCTTGCAAGTGCTCTCGGGCCTGGCCTCCATGGCGCATTCGGATGGCTAACAAGAAGATTGAAGTACCCCCAAGGCGAAGTACCCCGTTCGCTTGAGCTTCGGGGGAATCTAGGAATCCAACTCGAAATCTGTTGCTGGCCCAGGCTTTCCGGAGCACTCGGCGTCTCGGCGGGCTCCGTGTTCTTCATGGCCCTCGGATTCGAACTTGCCAGCTTCCTGGGTGTCGCTGTAGCTTGCGCTGTGGTGGCATTTGTAAGCTTAGGGAACGTCTGGCCTCTAAGGCTCACAAGAGGCCCTCAGCCCCAAGCCACAGCACACAACATCACGGAGATTTCTCCTGGGCGGATGGATGTCACCTTGAACAACCTAGATTAACGTTGGGTCCCCTGCTTGACCCAAGAACAAGCCAGCACTTGTGGCTTAGCTGGGACCGTCCACAGAGACCTAACACCAGACCTGAATCTTGACTTTCACCGGGCACCAGGTCGAAGTAAGATCAACTTCGCTGCCGAAATTTTCGCTTTCCACTTCCGCAGGAATTGACAAATGCAGGCACTCTGTCTTATGTCTTCCCCACTCATGGCTCTTAGCTATCCGTGACGGCCTTCCATCCAGGGACCTTCAAACAAACGCCGGCGGTTCTTCTCTTGACCGCTGCCCGTGGTCGTGGCGGGTCTCAGCATTCCGAAGCTTTCAGGGTCTTTCAGGGTCCTTCAGGGTTTAGGGTTTAGGGTTCAGGGTTTAGGGTTTAGGGCTTAGGGTTTAGGGTTTAGGGTTCAGGGTTCAGGGTCCTTCCTGCAGAGTCCTTCAGGGTCCAGGCCGAGGGCACACAAACCGCGTTGGTAGTTGAGATATGAAGGAAGCCTTCATATTCACAGGGCAATCAACTCACTGTCACACCGAGCCACTAGTCACTAGTCTCCCCTGAGGTGAGGTTCGGGCTACAGGACGTTACATCGAAGGTGCTCCGTTGGCAATTCCCACTACTCTGCGGCCTCGACCGGGAGGGTAACCAAAACCGATGTGATGGCCCTCGGCACTCTTCAAGAATGACTGTGTAGCAGTGTAGCACATTCTTGCACATGACAGTTTAAAGATAAGAGCTCCTGGGCAGCCTGTGGAAAACCCATTGCGCGGAAGCTGCCTGGGCCCTCTGCACAGACGGTTCAGATGAGGTGAATCACACTTCAGGTCTGGCGACCAGGCAATCAAACCCCAAGGAATACATCCATAATCCCTCACTAGGGTTTGGGGTTGAGGGATTCGGGTCTCGGGTTTAGGGTTGGGGGGGTGCCACTAATACGTTAGACAGTTCAACCCTCAATGCGTGACAGGGGCCCCGAAAGCTTCCCATCGGATCCCATCCTGTCACTGGCACACGCTCTGATTGCATCACCAACGCGCATTGCTCTTGCTGCCGTCTCTTGGGGCCTGGGGGCTAGACTATGCAGTGACGACCACTTCACTTTCAAGCTCTCTCACAACCGTGGCTGCCATCTAACCGGGCCTAGACCAACATCAGTCTACCCCAATAAGACCCCAATCACAGGCAGCAACTGCTACCACGGCCGGGCACTGGGGAGAGACTGTGAGGAGAGTTCAGACGTCTCGGGATGCCTCGGGTGTTGTGTCGGGTGGCCCAAGGCCGCTTCTCACTAGGAGGAGATGGGAGAGGAAGGGGCTGCTAGCTGACGTGTCTCTCATTCTCTGCACGGCCTGCATTCTTTAGGGGGCAAATGTGAGGTGACAAGCGTTTTGCGACGTACCTGGCGAAGGGACATCCACCTTTGCAACTGTTAAGTAGAATCGCGCTGTGACCCTAGCTGGTGTCGTTGAAAGATGTTGCAAGCGTTGTGAGTTGTGACTGCTCAGCCTCGACTCATCCAACTGCGATGCTTTTGGGTAGAGGGCCTGCACTGGAAGGTGCCTGTCTTTCGAGGGACAGTTTAGGGGGCAGGGAGCTTGCGGGCGAGTTTCTCAAAGTCCCGCGGACATGGGCTGCGGCCACCGCGCCAACAAAACATTGACATGCGCTTGTTTCGCGCAAAGGGCAAGCAAGGGGGCCCCTTCATGATCAACCGGGCTCCTGCACCCCCCAAATAGGAAGGCCACTTGATAGCTTGATAAAGGCTTGCAGCCACCACGACAATCCCCCCGTCTGATTCGAACCCAAAAACTGGCCCCAAACGCCTCGGTGTCCTCTGGGAGTGCCCTTGATTGGTGCAGGCTTCCGAACGCGTCCGAGCCGTGGCTTTGCACACAAGGCTTGCAGGGGGACTCTGGCAGACCATGTGCAGAGATACTAACCACCACAATAACAATAAAAATAGTAATCATAATATTCATAATCAAATAGTTATCATGATAATAGTGCTAATACCAATATACTGAGCTTCAAAAGAACCTGGAAGAGTACGCACATCTCATTGCAGACATGGATCCCAACTCAACAGGTATTTCAACGCCAAGGCTCTGAACCCTTCGTTTCCCTTGCGTTTCAAGAGGCCAAGGAGGGACCCAACAAAATCTCCTAATCAGGACTCCAGAAATTTAGGGTTTAGGGTTTAGGGTTTAGGGTTTAGGGTTTAGGGTTTAGGGTTTCGGGTTTAGGGTTTAGGGTTTAGGGTTTAGGGTTTAGGGTTTAGGGTTTAGGGTTTAGGGTTTAGGGTTTAGGGATCCCAAAAAAGCAACTCATTCTGACATATTGGGGCTGTGGGCATGTGACTGTCGCCACGCTCAGGCGGTCACGGCGCGGGCGCCAAAAACATGTGGAAGCAAAGGGCCAGATCCGAGGGGAGTTCTCTTCAGGCGCTCTGCTCTGAGTTGCGGGAATCCGCACTTCTCTGTTCGACACACTTCTCAATTACACACGCGTTCTTTCATCACACTTCCCCTCGCTGAATATTGCAAGCAAGTTGTGGTCTTTCGAGTGACGAGTGGGGGGGGCTTTTTCGGGGAGACAGGCTCGAGAGTCCTGGCGACAAGGCCGCGCCAAAAAACAAATGGCGCTTGCTCCAAGAGTCATCAGATACATCAGGTGCCATGAAAAGCCACCCCTAGATCCATAAGATCCATGAAAGGCACCGTGCTTTCGAACCCCCTTTCGAACCCTTTCGCACCCTTTGAAGAACCTCCCTCTCTCAGAAATTTGAGATCCGACTCCGCACCGAGCCCCTACTCTGAGCCATCAGTGGCGGCAGGGGCGGCAAGGACGGTGCGCTGCCGGACCTCAGGTTGGACTTTGGACATCTTCCATCAAGGATCGAGGAGATTGGAAGGGGGGGGGTGCTTGTGGCTGTTATTATTGACTCAAATCGAGAGTTACAAACCTCGGTGTTGACCTTTCCAATGATTTTCTACAGCAACTTTTCGAGTCAAAAGCAGCTCCACGCAACGCTTGTGGCTGCGTCCTATTTTAACAAGAATGAGCATGCGCGATGCCGCCCTGAGCCCCAATGGCAAGTTGCGACCACCCTCGTGACTCGTGGGAACACTCGGGACGGTCGCCCTTCACCCTCGAGGCCCCATGGGACGTCACCAGCAAGTCAAAGGAGCGCCCGCTTGACTTCCTTTGCTATCTGCCACCACTCCTCGCCCGGATGCAGCTGCCTCAAACAAGGAGACATGCCATACTTCAACGACTTGTGGGAGATTCATAAATATGACGATGTCTTAGCTATCGGACTACGGGAATTTGAGTCTTCCAGTGGCTGGGGTGTGAGTTGGATCAACTGAATTCCGTCTATCCTGCGACATGCGAACATTGCAAGGGAAAGCCGAGGTGCTGATGTCGAAGTACAGCGTTCTCGACAGCAAACCCCCGCAAAGGGGTGCCGCGCTCCTCGGCTTCGAGCTTCACGTCTCGGACTGCCTTCTGGGCCTTGGGATTCTGCTGAAAGCCGTTCTTGGGCAAGCCAGCATGGAAGTTGGCGGGCGCGTACGTGGAGTGCACTGGAACCACATCCACGGAGCAGGCACCTCCTCCCAGGCGATGGATGCGAGGATTTGATGTGTCCACGCTCTCAAACTGCTTGCCGAGACACCCTGTCAGCTTGTCACGATCCGACGTTGTCATGGGCCGGTTCCCCGGCAAGACCACCTTCGAGTCCAAATCGGCCCCGGCCAAGTTTGTGTGCTTGTGCCTTGAGCCGCCCTTCTCCACCCTGGCCTGCCCGCCAAAGGCCTCTTTCGTGGCCGCCTCGATCTTTCGCATGACTCGGCCGATAGCCGCAGCCGAGTCGCGCGACTCATGGGCCGCTTGGTTGATTGCAGCTTCGCGCCGGCCTGCTGAACGCCTTTCTTCGATCAACTGCTTGTACTCCGCCGGGCGTTCCGGGTAGCCTCGGCTTTGCCAGTACTCCGGGCGGTTTGGATTCAGCTGCTTGTTGCGGTTCTGGTCTGCCGGCTGGCTCGCCTTGCTTGCAGCCTTCTTTGGCATGGCGTCTGTCAAGCTCCGATTCGAGCGATTCGAGCCCAGCTGCGGGGAACATGTTCCAAAGTTGCTTGCTTCTTCCACCTCATGAGACACTCGCTGCTGCACCTGAAAGTTCAAAGGCCCAAACAGCCCAGCAAGTGGCTTGATCGAGAACTGGCCCTTCTGGCCCTTGTGGGGCCCATGAGCACGGCCGCTTGACAGAAGGCAGAAGATCCAGAAGGCGCTCAAACCCTGAGGAGCCGTTTAACTTATGCGTTGAACTCTGGCAAGAACCCGCAAACCCAGGTCAAAGCCCCGAAGTCTGAGAACGCAAACCTGAACCACGGGCGCCCCGACGTACGCATGCCCAATGGCACGGGTACCGACCCGCCAGTGCTGCCAGCACCTACTTAGGTGCTCAAGATGCTTCGGACTCTGAGGGTGCGCCCGGCTGAAGGAACAGGTCGGGTCGGAGAGAGTGGACCGTAGGCAAACAAAGCCGAAGAAAAACATCATGATAACAAAGCCAGCCACGTACGAGTGTGCCAAACATCTGCCTGCGTGTCGTGCTCACAAAAACTGACGTCTTCACATCGCTTCAAGATGCTTTAAAGTCCAGAGACGAATGGCGCAGACAAATCTCTGGGCCAGACCTTTCCGGCAACTAGGTCATTGAGGCATAGAGTTCTGGGCTGTTCTTGCCGTGCCTCCCGCTGCCGAGCGAGCTGGTGACACGCTGCGCGCCCCCGGGCGGTTGAACCTCAGGAGGCTTCATCGGAAAGGCTCAATTGAAGACTTGACTTGACTAGGGTGCTGGGGTCGGGCAGCATTTGTTTTTGGTTTCGAGGAAACGGTCTTCAGGATGTATGGGCTGGGTTGAGGGAGTTGGGGCATCTCGCGTGGCGTGAGGAACGAGATGGTCCAATATGATCCATACCCTCTGCCAAAAGGGATGTAGATTGTAGGTTCAGGCATCCTCTCGTGTGTTGCTGCTCCGAGCTGAGGAAACCTTCTGACCATGGCCGGCCTGCGTCGGATGGGGGGGTACATCAAGAAGTACATCAGTGCATCAAGAAGTGCATCTAGAAGTACATCAAGCAGAACATTCCGAAGCAAACTACGAAGTAGCAATGGGGTCCAAAGAGCCCCCCCCCCCCCCCCCCCGAAGGCCGAGTCGCGCAGGGGTTGTAAGCGGCAGCGGCGTCGAGCTGTGGGAGTCGGGAGACGCCTGTGCCTGGACGTGCCGGCTGGTGCGGGCTGCTTTTGCTGGCTGATTTTAAACGCTGCATGTCACACCTCATCTGCGCCTGCTGTGATTGCAAGTTGCTTCATCTAAGTGCGAATGTGGACGCGAGGATCTCTTTCTGTGCAGGTAGATACGCATGCTCTCACGAATCTCGGCACGAATCTCGGCAGCGAGTTCAATAACACAACTTACACCGGGGGTTGCAGGGATTCCGGCTGTCTGCGGTGCGGATGTAGAAAGACTCCGGAACGCCACTGTCTGGTTGCAGCACTGGGGTCCAGAGCCCGCAGAGCAACAACAGCGCACACTGCAGACATGCTGGTTCAGCATCTGCAGAGTGGCTCTGGCTGCATGCGAGCCACACACATTGCTTCGAGGGTCTTCTCAGCACTGTGCTCTAATCCCGAACAACCGCAGACTTCACATATCTCCACAAGACTGCAGGGGAAAAGCACCTAGACATGTTCTTTGTTAACACCTAAACTCTAGAATGTTCCCAATGCAGTTAAGAGCCACTGAAAAGGAGCTACTCAGGAACTACAAAGGAACCACCATGTCAGGCAAGTGGTTGGCCGGATGGCCTCCGGATTGCGGCGGTTTGCGTGCCGCACAGGGCTTCGCACGTAGCCACCATCCAGCGCCTCCTGAGTCATGCACTTCTATGGCTGCAGGGCTGCATGCTAGGGATATCTATAGTGATGCTTGTGTGTTTGTGTAGTCTGATTGCGGTCGGTGCTACCGGCATGCAGGACCCGTCGGGCCATCCCGCTTGATCGTGCTGCTGTCACAAATCGCAAGCCCGAAGAAACAGCGAGCTATGAAAAAGTAAACATGACTGCATATGACTGCCAAGCCCAAACCCCTCAATGCTTTTGCATGTTGGGCCTGCCCCCCCCAACCAAACCACACCGGCCTGGCCATCTATCCAGTTGGCACGACACCGCCGCTTTCCGCGCATTCGCCTGGATTGACAGGTTGATACGATGAAAAGCTGCGGCGCCCTCCGGATTCCATTGGCTGCGCCCAGGGCAGCAAAAACAGAGAGAGCCAGAGAGATAGCGAGAGAGGGAGAGAAAGAGACACAGACATTTTTCCTAGCAAGCATTGATTGGACACGCGGGTGAGGGATCCAAGAGATGACCAAATCACTTTCCAATTTCAGCCAAATCGGATCACAAACCATCTTTGAGGATCGCGGCTCCCTCAAACCTTGGGACCTCGAAAATAAACACAGAAACTCGGGTGTTTAAGGGTTTCGGGTTTAGGGCGTAGGGGGGCGTCCACAAGCCCCGCCTGTGGTCAGTTCCATGGTCATCTTCGGGTCCTTCCGTGCACGGGTCAGCTCATGCCTAGACTCTAGCGCAGGTTCGCCATGCCATGTCTGGCACTTCATTGAGGCCAGGCTTAAATTACAAGAACTAAAACTAAAACTGCACAAAACCAAAAGCTAAAACGCTACAGCCAAGACCCACATTTCTGAGAGGTGTAACGAGTCCGGTTGCTTCTCCGACTCTCCCTTGCGTTGAAGATGCTTAAGGCGGCTTAAGGGTTCAGGCTCGCGCCGAGACGTTTCCATCACCCCGACTCAGCACTCAAACATTCCCGGTTGGGATGAACAGTCCTTAAAACGGAATAGAATCGGGGGTACTATAATCCCTCTTAAGGACTGTTAGTATAAGGGGAACATCCCAAATTCCCGACTTCACTCTGCCACTCTAAGGGGGTCCTCCCCAGCTTTCAGCCAGAGGCGGCTCGTCGATCTCGGGCAGCCGGCGGAGCCACCCTTTTTGAGACAGGCGGTTAGGGTTTAGGGTTTAGGGTTTGGGGTTTAGGGTTTGGGGTTTAGGGTTTAGGGTTTAGGGTTTAGGGTTTAGGGTTTAGGGTTTAGGGTTTAGGGTTTAGGGTTTAGGGTTTAGGGTTTAGAGTTTAGAGTTTAGGGTTTAGGGTTTAGGGTTTAGGGTTTAGGGTTTAGGGTTTAGGGTTTAGGGTTTAGGGTTTAGGGTTTAGGGTTTAGGGCTTAGGGCTTAGGGCTTGCTGTGATAGGGCGTAGATGCTGTGAAGGTTAGGTTTCGGAACAAGCTCGAAAGCTTCGTGAGATGCCGAAGAGCAGCTTTGGCCCGATTGTGGAGAGCCATCTAACACTTTTCTCCCACCCCACGCCGTCCAAGGCGGCAAAGCCACCCAAACCTATTCCTTTTAGGGTTTAGGCCTAAACTCAGACAACAGTCCACTTTTCAAAACTTATTCAGTTTCATGATGTTGGTTGAATCCGAGAGTCAAGGCCTCGAGGCAATAAAGAGGCCCCGGCCGGCGTGTGGTCAGGGCCGAGAGGGGCTAGGGGGGCGGCCAGGTGGGCGGCAAGGGGTCAGGGGGGCCAGGGTAATTACTTTAGCGAAAGCCCCTGGGCGTCAGGTATCTCGCCAGCATCGGGTCATCGGGTCTTGGCATGCATCTATGTTGTTCTGCGGCTTTAGGCCCAGACACAGCACATGTGAGATGACAAAACATTTAAGTGTACAGAGTCAACATCACACGCTTTTCCAAATAAGCTTCAAAAGAAGAAGTCAAACACCGAGAGCTTTCTTTGCTGCTTGGGTCTGAAAACCGTCCGTGAGTGCTTGAGCCGAGCTCTAACCCACAAGGGTTATGAGCCCAAAGCTCGAACCCACTGCCATGGCTTCCGCAAGTTGGGCTGAGTCGGTCAATCGTGCGATGGAGGGTGAGGAGTCCGAGGTTTCTGCTATTGATCCCATGCTGCTTGGGGGAGTGAGTGACGACCCTAAGGAGCCGGAGTATGACCAGGGACTGCCGACGCAGGCACCATCAGATCCCGCCATGGAGGATGAGCAAGTTGACCGTAGGCCCCTACAAGAACGCCAAGCTCCCGCTCCGGTAGCCAGACTTTTACCACAGTCTCCAGGGCACAGTGAGTTGTCTCGCATGGAAAAGGGAGCACACTGGGAGATTGATGATGAGGAGCTGGTGCCGGACTACAACAGGATGTTGCCTCGGGGGGTAGAAAGTGGACCGTGTGATCGGCGGAACGATCAGAGCTTGCTGCCCACCAACGCCATGGATGTGGACCGGGATGATCGCGTGCCCCAGTTGGCAGCTGGGGGGTCCGGAGGTCGTGTGACCAATCCAGCGCCCGCTCCGGTCACGTCTGGGGGGATTCCGGTTGAGGTGTCTCTTTTGCAAGCAAACGTGAGCCAGTTGGTGCAGCAACAGGTAAGCAACATCGTGCAAGCGCAGATGGCCCCCTTGTTCACGCAGCTCTTTGATCGGTTGGAGGCCATGGAGGCTAGACAGAGCCGTCTTGATGAGCGAGCCAGGGTTGCCCAACAGGCCTCAACTGAAGCAGATGCGCGTGCTCTTGCTGGAAACTTCGCTGCCAGTGTAAGAATTAGTGCTTCGCAGGGTGATGGTGGCCATCATGGAACAACGGCAGCGCAGCATGGTGAAGGGTCCTCTGCCTCAGTAGCTCGTGGTAGGAAGGCCGTGGAAACATCAAGGAGCCACGGTAGAGATGAGGCCTCAGCAGATCCGTCAAATGTTTCTGGGCACGCTGATCAGGGCTCCGGCCTTGGGGAACAAACGGGGGTGGTGGAGGTTGCTGGAGTTCCACACGCCTGGCGTCTAACGTCGGATGGATTGCAGTTGCAACCCCTAAGCACTCGTAAGCCCAGCACACCCGTGCAGCCTAAAAGTCAGAACATCTTTGACGGAAGAGCTCACTCTCCTTTTGAGGCCACTGACTCTGGGAGCAAACTCGTGCGGT